AAGCCACCTGCAGTTTCAGTGCCTTTAGTGTGACTCGGTGAATAATGCTCCAAACTTGCTCCAAACTCTGAAGCCACCAAAGGTTTGAGGGAAAAAAAAAAAGTCAATAATGTCATTAATTAGAAACTGAGAGAAAAATTGCAGTGTACCTGGGTTTTGAAGTGGAACCAGAATTACTTGTCTTGTGGTTATTCTTCTGATACAGGTTTCATTTTCTTCAATTAAACCTGGCTTTAGAAGTACATTAATGATAGAATAAGTGTTTGGTTAGCTATGATGATGGGTGAAGGTATTGATTTAATCACAAGCAAGAATTTGACTTCTGTGTCTTCTGGCATAAATTCAGACTAACAGAGAAACGTGTGGGGAGGAACCCAAGGTGCATTGTGAGGTCTGAAGTGTTACATCCCACATGTTTGCACACACAGGAATGTAATCACGCCAAAAGAAGTCACAAACATGTGAAAAACACATGAAAATCCATAGCACAGATGTCTATAAAAGATAATGTCCATATCTATAGACATCTGTGTCATGGGTTTTGATAACAGCAGCTGGGAAGGAGATGGTAGCAGCAGGGTCTTCCTCTCTGATGCCTCAGTGATCATTGGGAAGGGACCTGGAGCCCAAGTGTGGGTCTGTCCCGGCAGAGGTTGAAGTTGGATGGAAGGTCCTGGGCTGGTGGCTGTGGTTTGCACCAGGGGGAAGGGAGCTGGTATTTAGTTTTCATAGAAGTGGCAAACTCCACCGGCTGTGGGGCTAAGGATGAGGTGAGGAGCCATTAGCTGTGGTTTCTGGCAGAGTGAAAAACACCGAGGCAAAAGTAATTGGGCTGGAGAGAGCATTGGATAGAGCATCAGATGTAGAAACTGGATTGTTTGTTTTATCTTGGTGCAGTGGTCATTCACCCGACAACATTAGTTCTCCTTCAAATTTAATGACCATTTTATCCCTATAAGCATCTTTGTGTATTGGATGTTAGTGGGACACAGCCCAGTCTTTCGCAAATGCTGCGTTTGGTGCCGAAAAGGCTAATTCAGTGCTAATGTCATTATCAAAGGTTGCGGAGGAAGAATGTCCTAAAAGGTCTATTCCTCACAAAATCATCTCCCGTAGTTATTCAGATGTGACTAATGATGCATCTTCTGCAGCAGCTTTCATTTGTTTATTTGGTATGTCCCCTTTTTCTCCTTAAGAACTGTTAGAAACAGAATACAAAAAGGTAGAGTCACTTTTCTGTGCTTTTCTTTGCTTCCTGATTAATTTTGGTCTCAGGAAAGCAAAAAAAGTACATTAGCAATTTCACACCTTGTTACATCTTGTGTTTGCTTTCATCACACGCATGGCTGTTCTCGCGGAGGGCGAACATAAGCAGAAATGATGTAATATCCCTCTTCGATGCTGAACCTTTTTTTTCCTGAGAAATTAATGCATACGTGCAGCTTGCTTGTAGAGCAACGTGTGAACGATTCGCGAAGTACATCCACCCTTTGGAGTGTCAAGGCAGGGATCTGGACAAGTCTTCTGCCTGCTGACGTAAGAAACATGGGAGATTATAGCTTTATATATCTCAACTCTAAAGTTCATTTATTAATTTACTTCTTGTACTCCAAACTTCTGTGTGAATTTATTTCTTCACCTGTTTTACTCCAAATGGAAGTTCTCAGTGGCCGGGCTCCTTTGTATTAGGAGGATGCTGCCCTTGCAGAAGCCGTGACCTTTGAAAAGCAAGTCTCAAGTAATCCTTTTCTTTTCCTGAGATCATATAGCTCCGGATCCGGTTGCAGGCTTTTAAGATGGAATGATTGTGGGCTTTGTCTGCTTGCCAGGCTTGGGTTACGTTTTGTTTGACAAAGAAAACCCTAAAACACTTATACCTTCCTTCCTTTGGTTCAGAGCATCGTCATCTCCGTGCGTGGAGGATGCAGAGTAGTTGCCGTATCATCCCAGCACCACTGGGATTTATTGAATTCACTTAATTGGCCTTTATCTCGCGGTTACACTTTAACGCTTCTTTTGAAGGAGATTCAAAAAGGATCCAGTTACTCCTTTTCTAATTTACTTTGAGAGTTGGGTTACTCATTTCCTTATCTTCCCTCCTTTCCCCCAGTAGAGCCGAGAGTTCTGCAGAGCCACGATTGAACGTCTTAGAGACTTGCACAGTGAGAGGTTTACGTCCATGAAGCTGTTACCTAGCAAAGCTTTTACCACACTGCTTTTTAAAGAAGATGCTCTGTTTTAGGGGAGTAGGGAGTTTGACGGGCAGATGGCCAGTGATGCGTTTTGTGTTGGGCTGTGCTGATGCACATGAAGAAGGAAGTTAAACTCCCCTGGCCTTCCCAGGGAAGGCTTTTGCAGCAGAGTTCAGGAGTGCTTGCATCGTTCTCTTGTTTTTAAAGCACTTGCAAGCTTTGGTCTTATAAACACTTGAGTAAACCTCAGTAAAGCGGATGAAAAGTCCATTATTTGGTCAGGCGATCTTGACACTGGGAATTGCATGGTTTTCGCCTTCTTGAGAGGTGTTCGATACCAGGGAGGGCTGAGGTCTCCCCTCGCTGCACTTCTCAAGTTTGCTTTTGCTAATCAGAGTTTAGAGAGGTTTAATGCTCAGTCCTGACTTTCTCCATTCTGCCAGACCTCTGGGAGCCTGGGATGGGCACTGCAGGGGTTTAGGGGCATTGGAAAGCAGTCCCAGAGGGGCAGAGGTCCCTTTTTTGAGTAAATTGGTGTCTCCATCCCCATAGCAATCCAAGTGGCTCCTGATAAGAAGTGACCAGTGTCCTTTATTTAAGTAGGATTGTAGAATCGTCTGTTATTTGGCACCACCACCCCACAGTGAGATTTTGGTTTTCCAGTGCCTGTGAAAACCATGTAGCTCCCTTTGCATTAGAAGGGAAATTAATCCTGTTTTAATGGAGTTTGCTACTCGCTGTGTCCTGTCTGGACACATCTGACCATACACATGTGCATCGGGCCATGTATCTCCCATGCACAACTCAACTTGCCATGCAGATGCATGCACATTAAGGTTGGAAAAGACATCTAAGATCATCAAGTCCAACTGTCAACCCAACCCCACCATGGCCACTAAGCCATGTCCTGATGTGCCACATCTACACTATTTTTGAGCACCTCCAGGGATGGTGACTCCACCACCTCCCTGGGCAGCCCCTTCCAGTGTTTGACCACTCTTTTAGTAAAGACATTTTTCCTGATACCCAATCCAACCCTCCCCTGACACAACTTGAGACCGTTTCCTCTTGTCCTATCACTCGTTACTTGGGAGAAGAGACCAACACCCACATCACTATACACTCCTTTTAGATAGTTGTAGAGGGCAATAAGGTCTCCCCTCACCTGGATTTAGGCACCTGGTTCCTATACCAGATTAGCTGTTTGAGTTTAGGATAAGGTGACTTTGTCAGCTGAAAAATTGTTGAGCATGCAGTGCCTACATAGATAACCTGATCATCATTCAAATCAAGGTGGTTTTTACTTGCTCAGTGGAGCAGTTGTGAGCACAGTGGCGGATGCCCAGCAAAAAAGCGAGTGTTGTCTGTGCAGCTCAATGCCAGCTCTCCAGCAGAAAACAATATGGAAATGACCAACACCTTTCAGCATCCTCCGAGAGCCGAGTGGGTGAGAGATTAGTAAATAAGTGAGAAAACTGGGGCTGAAATGAGATTGAGATGCAGTAACTTGCTTTAAAAGAGAAAGTCCAGGGATAATCGTCTGGGGCTCTTCCCTTACTCTTTTTGGCTGAAGATCAGACCTGGCAATATTAATTTTTTTGTTGTCTTTATTTTACTTAATTATATAGGTGGAGTTTTTTGTTGGTGGTGTTTTGTTTTGGTAGTTCCTAATACATTTTGGAAGGTGAAATGTGGTCATTTCCTGCTGGTCTCTGCACACTGTTCCCCATACGGCCACCAAGGTCCTTGCCATGGGTCTCCCCAGCCCCCTGTGATCCCTGCTGAGAGCTGGCCTAGCTGAAGGGAGAGTTGAAGGTCCTCGGCCAGATGTGGGCTGGTTTTTCCTCTGGAAAAGCTGCTTTCAGCCCTGTAAATTAAGGACTATGAATTTCTCCCATCCCCTTTTTATTCAGTGTTGTTTCCTAATCTCAGGCATGAAATACCTGGGGTGTTACGGTTGCATTGCCCATAGCAACTTTTGCTCGGGAGCTGGCAGGGCTGATAACAGCCATGACTTGAAAAGTCTCTGTCGATACCGGCCCGAAAACAAAGGATCAAGGCCGTGCCTGATGCTTGTGTGTGCTGCAGAGGGCAGATAACCTTTCAGGGCTGCATCTTAAAATACGCAGCAGAGCCGCTCTTGCCGCTTTCATTCTGCGGCGTCCCCGAGCACACCGGGACTTCCGAACCGTGATCGCCGTTAAAATCTTTAGAGCTGCCATTTGCAAGGAATTAGTGTCACTCTGCGCGCCGTAACACCCCAGCAAGGCTTATGGAGAGCAATTGAATTATAAAGGTTGTGTTGGCCTTGCTGCTCTGCTCAGCGCTTCTGGAAGGAGGGGGCTGAAAGATGCCTGGCCTTTAACTACTGCACAAGCCAAGAAATAAATAGTTAAGGAGTCTACGTAACCTAAGGTCCTCTGTATGTGCTAAAATATGTAACTTCAAAGCAGCTGAAGGAAAGCAATATGCAATTAATATTTAATTCTGCTGTGGTAACGTAGCCCATTTGACGAGGCGAGGTGTGGGGTTGATGTGTTTGGGAAGTGCTTTGTAAAGACAAGCTTGAGCCTGTTGGTTCACGTTGATACTTTGCTGGGATGGACAATGCTGGCCGGATCCTCAGCTCTTGAAAAATCTGTGTGAGTCCAGTTGGGCCAATACCACCTGGGTGAGAAGGGACCCCACTGATCTGCAGGAGCTGAAGATCTCCGTGCCTTGGAGGCGATGATGAGTTGGATTTGGGCAGGGGCAGACCCTCTTACTAACCATGGCTTTTGTCTCTTCTGTTTTTCTCCTGTCTTGCAGCACCTTCTCCAGTCAGTAGTGTGAAAAAAGGGAAGATAACTAAAAATAGCATCTCCCTTTCCTGGCAGGAACCAGATCGACCCAACGGCATCATCCTGGAGTACGAAATCAAATATTTTGAAAAGGTGTGGCGGACTGATTGCTGAGTGTCCCAAGTACCTTCTCTTTGCTGTCTTCTTCTTTTAGTTATAATTCTCCGAGTCACGGAAGGGAATGGAGTGATTTTATGCATAAATCAATGTCAGATTGATTTTGCAGTAAATGATTAGGAAGACTTGAAATGAGGGTGTTGTTTTCCATTAGTGTGCCACTTCTCTTGAACAAATACATTAAATCTGCGTTTCAGATTCCTCTCCGGCCCTATCGCATTAAGATAGAGCCTGCTTATTTGTTAAAAGTAGGAGGGTTTGGGGATCGAGCGTCTGTCTCCTCCTGGAAACACCAGGCTATCCCTTGCCTTCGGTATTTCAATTTCTCACTTGGCTTTGCAGCCGTGGTGTAAGGAGAGGAGAAAGGTTTTGCAGAGAGATTGTGTCTGCTCTGATGTGAAGAATGAAACTGAGTCACGATTCACTTGGTTTTTGGTTGAATTTCTATTTTAAGGAAGTTCATCCATTAGTTCTGTCTATGAGCCAGGTGAGACCACTCAACACAGACCAGGACCAGGTCCTTACTCCTCCTCTCTTCTCCCTTTGGCCATGATGGGGACCCGCTCAAACAGCCCATGCAAAAAGGGGAAAGAATTTCAGATCTACAATCTTCTAGGATAAAATCAGCATTTATATTTACAAATAAGTGAGGTTGGGCAGGGGGACAAGATGCGTGAGTGGCTTAAATAGGGCTGAGCTTTTCAAAAAAGATTAAAGGCTATGCTTTTGCTGGAAATAATCCATTACTGATTCATTAACTTGTTTGAGCGACCGTTGTGGTGCACTGATTCCTTACCGTGGAGTGGCCTGGGAAGATTACCCTCTAGAAACCTTGATAATGAGCAAATAATTAAAGCAAAAAATCCATATATTTGTTAGTTTTGCCTAGTCGGTTTTTAGACAAATCGAGGAGGTTCTGAAACTTTGTGTGTGTGGTCCAAAACTAGTCCCAAATAGCTTCAGTAAATAGTTCTTCTGGTGCCAGTTCTTCACAGGGAGGTTGCTGCAGCCAGTCCGAGTTTATGTGGTCTTGATTTATTTCTTTTTTGATAGCGAAGCTTATCAGAGAATCGTAGAACACCAGGTAGGAAAGCTGAAGTATTTAAATGATTGCAGAAGCCAACAGTGTATTGAAAACCTAATTGGGCTGATGTACAAGCAAGGATAGGGACTGATATTCACTTATGGCTTTCTAACCATTCATTGAGTTAGATTTGGGATGTCGTCCTCAATCCTTCTTGTTTGTTGGTGCTGTCATTTGTTTTCCTTGGTTTTCAGCCCTTTATAAGTGTAAATTTGCAGTGTTCATTTCCAGGTGATGAGAATGATCTATATTAAATGTTTTGGAAAATCGAGTTTTGTCAGATCGCATTCCTTTAACACAAATCACTCCTTAACAAGAGGAAAAAAAAAAGCATATATATGTATTTCTCCTAAACAGTCTTGAGTGGCTACAGGCTGCAGTGAGAAAACCTGTAATCTTATATTTGGAAATTCCCGAGGCCTTATCCAGGCATATTGCTGTCTGTGGAAAGCTGCCCATTAAATTAAAAAGGCAAAATGGAAAATCAGTTCGGATCCTAATAGATATGCACAAATTTTGGTAGGGAATTACTAAGAACTCCTGTTTGCCTCATAATAATTTGGCTCTGAGAGGGTATGGTGAATAAAACGCAGTTTCCGAGTTTGTAGTCCTTAATTTATGAGCTCTTGTCTAGATTATGTGTTACAGTAAATAATTCTAAGAGTAATTACCAAGCGTTTGAGCGAAATTTTAATCAAAGAACTGAAACTCTTTTGCATTAGAAACTGATGGAAACGACTTATTTCAGCAAATTTTCTTCAAGTTCATTGCTTCAGAACAGCAATGCAAAATTAGGTATTTTCCTGTAGTTTGAGTTGTCTGTTCCTTTCCCGAGATCTAATTCGTGGTTCTAGAAATGCCAGCATAAAGTTATACCATGTATAATGTCTTATTCTCTTTTAGGCCTAATTGTATTATTGCAAAGTCATTTGGGTGGAAATTAAAATCCCTTTCTAAGGTTTTGTTTTGCCTTGAGATTGATCATTGTAGGAAGAACCTTTCCCTCACCCCAGGCCATGAACATCCTGAGTAATAAGCTCCTCCTACTGTAGATGCTGGGTTGGTCCCATTATGTCATCTATGGGTAGAAAGTCCCTCTGCTGTTTTATATCCCCAAAAGTCATCTGTTATAAAAGCTTCTGGGCAAGAGAAAATCAGATCTCACCTTTTGTACTGCAGAAAGGGTCTTCAGAGGGTTTTTTAGGGGCAAGAGATCCTCAAAAGTGCATATTTCAGTCATCCTCTGTAACACTGCGGTGTGGGTTGCTAAGGGTCTGTCTTCTGGGAGAGAGCCACTATTTCTGTGTTTGAACTTTGTCTTTTTTGGGGGGGATGCTGGGAAAAGGACCAGGAGATGAGCTACACCATCATCAAATCCAAAGAGACGACGATTACAGCAGATGGCTTAAAACCCGGCGCAGTGTACGTCTTCCAGATCCGAGCCCGGACAGCTGCCGGCTACGGTGGCTTCAGCCGAAGATTTGAGTTTGAAACCAGCCCAGTGTGTAAGTGCTTTTAATTACTCCAGAATGGTAATGAGAAAGGAATCAGGAGGTCCATCTCTTTGCAGAGAGCTCCATCAGTCTCATGCTTTCCTTCATCCCTTGACTTTGGAAACATCAGGCGCATCATGGCCATGCACCAGGTGAACGCATCTGTCCTTATGTCCTTGTCTCAAGTGGTGAGGTGGGAGGTGCAGTCAGGAGGTCTCCAGGCTCCAGAAATTCATAGCATTTCCTGCTTAGAAAAATCCTGGATTTATGAGGGTTGATGGAAGAGAGGACAAGGGCTCTCTGAAGAAGAGAGAAAAGATGAGACTTGGTCCTTCACACCCCTTAACAGCTCTCTGCAGAGGATGCTGAGCTCTCTTAAATATCCACATCTGAGGAGAAACACCCTGAAATGGTGCCTCTCTGCGAG